TGTCAGTCCATGCGGTTTAAAGAAGGATAGTCCTCACTAAGACCTACAGGCTTCATTCACTCAAATTCATTTTTAATAATTGATCTGAGAAAGCGGTTGTATACAGCTGATAGTTTAGATATTTCTGAAAAGGGTTTGGCACCATTCATGGCATCCATAGGAAAGTCTTGATCTGATGAGGCTATTCGTGGCATCCATAGGAAAGTCTTGATCTGATGAGGGCTATTAAATGGCATCCATAGGAAAGTCTTGATCTGATGAGGGCTATTCGTGGCATCCATAGGAAAGTCTTGATCTGATGAGGCTATTCGTGGCATCCATAGGAAAGTCTTGATCTGATGAGGCTATTCGTGGCATCCATAGGAAAGTCTTGATCTGATGAGGCTATTCGTGGCATCCATAGGAAAGTCTTGATCTGATGAGGCTATTTAAGTGCATGACTCAAGTTTTCAGGTTAATATTTTGGTTTTGTAGCAATTTACAATGTTGTATGAAAGTAACAAACTAAACAGACCTTTTGGTGTTAGTCCATGAATTTGTTTTACCTGTGGAGCCTACTAATCCAATAAAACCACTACTAAAGTAAAATTTGCTTGCATGCTTTTTATAAACTAGATAAAAAGCATTGGATTTATATTAACCTTTCAGTCTGACTTTTGCATAAGCTAGTCTTTTTAGTATCTTTGTATGTCTGAAATATATATTCAGTTTGTAAGACCTTCAATAAGTACTTCTGTCTAGATTCAATGTACTTTTGTGGGTTTTTTTTTTTTTTTTTTTTTTTTTGTGGGTGGGCCAAATAAAAGTGTCCCAACTCTGTAACAAATCAGATTAGGTCTATGTGGTATGACTGACAATGATGCAGCCATTTAATATTAATGTACAATAAGGCCTACCTAGGGCAATGGTTCTTAAGCCTTTTCACAGTACTCACCTTCACACTAATGCTGAGTGTCCCATTTTTCAAGAGTACTCTTTTGCGATTAACAGATTCTAAGAATTCTAAAAAGACACAGGCAAATTTGGCCTCTACCAATGGCTTCTATCAGCAATTGTTTAGCATGTCTCTTTTTAAAAATGTTAGAAACTGGCCCTTTTCAAAATATACAGTATATATTGATGAACATTGTATTAATTAGGCTCTCATCTGTTTATATTTCTGAGATGAGGTATCATAATTATTTACACTATTTACATTGTTTAGACTATTGTCCTTATCTTTGTTATATTCATGATGTTTTGGTTATTGTACACTCCAGCCTTCTTCAACATCTGTCTATATTTCTGAGATGAGATATCATAATTATTTACATTATTCAGACTGTTGTTCTCATCTTTATTGTCACATTTACAGTGTTTCAACTGTTGTACAGTTCAGCCTTCTTCAGGTGATATTTGTTGGAATTTCAAACCGAACCCTTTTAGTCCACGGGGTAGATTGTTCTAATTCCACATGCCATGCATTTGGATATCTCCGTTTCAGTTAATTAACCTTGATAAGTTTTGTTCTCTCTGCTGAGGCCAGGGATTTTACTACGAAATCTTTGGGCCGTGTCACTTTTAGGATCTGTCCTTGCGGATAACAAATATCACCTAAAGAAGGCTGGAGCATATAATGCCCAAAATATGGTGAATGTGACAATAAAGATGAAGACAACAGTTCAAACAATGTAAATAGTCTCTAATTGTTTTATGAAAGTCAACTCCTCATAACCCAGTTTGGTTTTTGTTCTGGTAAAATGTTTAACGATGGCATATGTCATTAAAAAAATCTAGGAGATTGCATACCATTCCAATAGAAAATTGTAAACCTACTATGTTGACTTCACAGCAGTATATGACCACAGCAATAGAGGCTTTCTCTTCAAACCCATTAGAATGTGTCTTCCATGCTCTGATTTCACTGAATGCCTCAATCTCATAAAGAATTTATATCAGTCTTGTAGCACTAGAGAAAATGGTCTACCTCCTTGACATATTCAGATGTGTCTTGCATGTAAAATATTCCCAAAAAGAAAATGGCAGCTTTACAAGTTGTATATTTAAAAAAAATAGATCTTGGATACTGTGGCAAGACTCTCTTTCCACCTATGCAAATTTGACCTATTACTCAATCTATAAAAATGCTTAATGAGGCAATGGATGATTGTGACGACAATGTAGAAGACAGATATTATTGGATTGTTTGGCCCAAGTTCGTACCGCTACTCTGTTGATAGAAGGAAACAAATTCTGGAGATTTATTACAAGCCGGAAGAAAATAACATGTCTGATGAAGACCCAAATACGGAAACTTCAAGAGTACAAGAGGGGAAATGAGAGCCCCAGTCTATTTAATATTTTCTTAGACTGTACCCTGTGCATTTACAAGCACAGATGTGAAGATAAGGGTACTGATCATTTAAGCATGCTATACCACATCCCAAATGAATCTAATAATACAGGGTACCCAGTGAAAAAGCTGGCAAATTTATTATCATTGTTTAATCTTGCAAAAAAAAAATTGACCTAGAATAAATTTTTTGAATATTCATGACCTTGAATAATTTTTTGACCCTCGCATAATTACTTAAATCTGATTGGCTTATTTATTATTGATTTATTGCTGCTCAATCTTGTGACTCGTCATTTAAAGGTCATTTGCGGACAACTTTCATCTTTTGTTCTGCCCTTCTTGTATGGCTAAACAACTCCCTGATTTTGAGCGTCAAGTTATCGTACTTTTCAAAGAACATCTGACATGGAGATTGATGAAATATGCAGAAATTTTTCCTGAATTTTTCAAGTCTTATCAGTTGTCACCAGTTTTCAACATTTGTCACATCTTTCTGGATTATGATGATGAGGAGGGGGGTTGCTCAGCTAATGACATAGGTATTCACAGTTGGGATAAGCATAATCTTAAACAAAAAAAAATTCAACCAAGTGTTCCAAGAAATAGGATTTGAAATAAACCTTTCCAAAACAGAAACTATGATTTTGAATTGGAATGAAAGCAGTGATGGCACCTACCCTGAATGCATCATTGAAATGAAAACATCCTCTATCAAGTGTTCCAAGAAATAGGACTCGAGATAAACCTTTCTAAAACAGAAACTCTGATCTGGAATTGGAATGAAGGCAGTGATGGCGCCTACTCTGAATCCATTATAAGAATTCGGGATGTGCAATTAGTAAATACTAAACACTTCAGATACCTTTGTGTTTGGATCAATTATAACCAATTTAATAATGAAGATATGGAAATTGAATATAGAATAAGCTGTACTAGGGGTAGTTTCACCTAACACTGCAAATTGCTACAAAAGCAAAACCTTAACCTGAAAACTAAAGTCATGTTCTTAAATAGCCTCGTCAGATCAAGACCCTCATATGGATGCCATGTATGGCTCCAAACACATTCAGAAATATCTAAACCATCAATTGTATACAATGACTTTCTCAGATCAATGGTTAAAAATGGCTTTAAGCAGACCATACTTCTTCAATTCTCATCGACTGGTGATACAGAATCACAAAGAACTGTATGAAATAACAGAAACCACATCTCTTGAGGACTTTCAAAAGCAGCCATAGCTAAAATGGATAGCACATGTAACTCAAAGAGAAAAAGAATACCATGATCAAGATGTCAACATTTCACGTGATTTTAAACAAAAGGTTAGGAAGGAAACTTCCCATTGATATTGGAAAGAGCAATAACAGCTACTGGAATGGAGAAATCTATTTTTCAATATATTTATAAATTTCAACAAACCTTGGCACTGGCTGCTCAATCATTAAATGCCAATTGTTTCCTTATAAGGAAATGGCTGAATTCACATATGAAAAAGAAACAAATAAGACTTTACCTTTTCTTGAGATATATATATTTATTGATATACCAATGAAAACACAGAGCATGTAAATAACCTGTAAACTGTTATCTGTCTCTACCTCTCTGTCTCTTTCTCTCCCTCTCTCTTTTTTGTTTGTCTATCATCTCTCCCTCTCTCTTTTTTGCTTGTCTATCATCTCTCCCTCTCTCTTTTTTGCTTGTCTATCATCTCTCCCTCTCTCTTTTTTGCTTGTCTATCTCTTTCTATATTTCTTGAACACAAAATGTAGAAAGAATACCTGGAGAATTTAATATTCACAAGGCATATCAAAGATCGAGGAGCTTGAACAAATAGATGGAGACAACAGTCTGGCTTTGTAAAGCAAATATTGCTAAAAGTAACAACACAGGCAGCTCTGGAGATGACAGCGAGAGAGAGAAAGAGATAGATAGACAAAGAGAGAGAGAGAGAGAGAGATTTAATCTGCAGAATTTTAAAGGGTTTAACTCCTAGTTCTATTCTTTTTATTTTTTGCTTTGTAAAACATTTGTGTATTGATTCTTATGCCTCTGTTGTGTTGCAACCCAGGCCTGACCAGACACCAGGTTTGTTGACAGGGTGCAGTTTCTTGCAGTCAAACACTAGTAGTTTAGAAATTACCCTTTGACCAGATTGTTACCCACGAGTGAAGAAAATTTCTAGCAGTACCCCAGTTTTTATTCTTGGGTTTTTACTTACTGCTATAAGTGAGCAAAGTAGAGCTGTAAGTGATTGGGGGTGTGCATAGTTCAGTAGCCATCTTCTATGTCCATTCTGTGAGGCCTGCTTTGTTCCTTCTGTGTGCCTTTTCATGGGATGGTCAGTTTTATAGATAACAATTTTCTTTGTCTTATCTTCATTCAAAAAATACAATTCATCTTCTTTCTGTGACTTTTTCTCTGTCTGAGCCTCTTGCTCGGTATTTTGAAGTTGACTCTACTTACTGATAACATCAATCGAAAGTAAATGTTTCATATTGAGTTGTGTGACGGGTCCTGCTGTTTTTCAATTTAATAAGACCTCAGCCAAGTCATATTGCTACACCTCTCTACTAATTCTGAGCCCGCAACTGTGGGTGAGGGGGAATATTTTAATGTAAAACTTGTTTTGATTACTACATCTTGTTCATGTTTTAAATTCTAGAAATGGTTGGTGCTTGTATTGTCATCTTCATCCTTGCAATGTTGTATGAGGGCCTAAAAGTGATGAGAGAACAGATGCTCCGGAAAGCCAATGTGAAAACCCGTTACCACAGTATGACAATAGAACCCAGTTTGTCACGAGACACAATGATTCAGGAGGAACACAAGACAGTCGAGTAAGTATAACTTCAAAGACATACTTTTTTTACATTTTAATACATGCTCGGGGAGGGGGCGGGCGGTGAATATTGTCACATAGAATTCCCTTTGCTGCTCTAGGCACATTTTATCGCCTTGACATGGTTGCTACTAATGCTTTGGAATGAGGCTAGATTCTACACAAGGTGTAACATTGATCAAACCCATGTTAAATTTTTTTTTTTTTTTTCCAAAAAAAAAAAATGTCCGCATCAACATCCAATGAAGCCTTTATTCAGAAGTTTTTCTATGATTCAGACTCTGATGATGATTTTGAAGGCTTTACTTGGGTGGATATTGATGGTGAAGCTATCGAAGATGATAACTACGCTAGTGACATGGAGGAAAGCGATCATGACCACTAGATACTGACCAGCTGCTATCGTCCATGGCTGACTAATTTTATGGAAGCTACAGGCAACCATCGATATACCTGGTAGCCTTTCTGAAGGTGAATTATTTTGTCTATTTATAAATGACGAAATAACTTTATTTGTCAACGAGACAAATAAATATGGTAGTCAGGTGAAAGAAGGGGGCAAACAAATGCTGGTCTCCCTCTCGTATGTAAACACGAGGAAGCACATCACTTTTTGATGAAATAAAAACCTTCTTAGTGATTCTGCTTTTTATTGCAACCCCCAGAACTCCACAAGGAGAAATAAAAAGTTGAAGTATATTGAATTGTTACTGTATTTTTTTTATTTTTTGTTTTAATTTCGTGTTTCAATTTTATTTTGTTTTCATCATCAAAACATGCATGCAAAACGTAATGCATTACATCAAAATATTACTTATTCATTCTTTTATTAGTATACAAAAAATAAAATCTATGCCCACAATACAAAGGCAGTTTTAACAATTTTAAAACAGTAGGTGTTTGTGCACATTCAAAAAGAAAATGCAGTGGCAGGGGGAGACAACTCTAGAAAGAAATTAGCGTGGTAATGGTTAATGACCAGGCTCCCTTCCATTTTGTTCAAATGAACTAATCTGTAAATGAGCTGGTTAGTTCTCCAAACAGGATGATACGTGGGACACATACTGGACACGTGATCCGCCAAGGACTAGTGTCCTCTTCTTTGTTGAGGATAATGACATCAAAGATGCAGACCATAGTCTGCATGTAAAATAGTGTAAATAACTCCTCATCCTTATCCAGACAGAAAATCTTCATATGCAATCAGGATATTGTCAAGTGGTTATAGCCTTCTGACTTCAAGGCCAGAAAGAAAAAAGTGCAGGTACAATCGAGAATTGCCCATTTTTTATTGACTCAAAAGAAATCCCTGTATACATCTACATGGTCGTCTATAAATCGGGGGGGGGGGGGGTTTAACAAACATTCCCAGAAACTGGAACCAATAGGCGCGTGATTCTTAATCTTTTTCATTGTTCGCAACTCCCCCCCTTTCAAACCACCACCCAGTTTTTGCACTTTCTTCCAGATTCAATGAAAAATAACATTAATCTCCTGGGTAAATAACAAAATCATTGTTTCTTTAATCTTTATTCACATAATTGACATCAAAATAATGCACTACAAAAACAAGATTACTTTCATATTAGATTACCATCATTTAATTTTTTTTACTATCTTGTACTATGCATGGTGTGTTGGAAATGATCCTGATTGAGCAACAAACTCAGTCACTTAGAATAGGTATTGCCTTATAAGGAAACATTCAGCATTCATTGACCAAGGAGCCAGTAAGATCATTGGTTGAAATTTATAAAATCTTTCTACTAAAAGTTCATTGTTATTTCGCTTTCCCGCATTGAGGGAGTTTCCTTCCTAACCTTTTGTTTAAATTAGTGTGGAATGTCAACATCTTCATTATGCCATTATTTTCTCTTTGCTCTCTATTTGAGGTGTTGCTGCTTTTGAAAGTCCTCAAGTGATATGATTCCTGTTATTTCATACAGTTCTTAGTTTGTGATTCTGTAATGTCAGTCCATGCGGTTTAAAGAAGGATAGTCCTCACTAAGACCTACAGGCTTCATTCACTCAAATCCATTTTTAATGATTGATCTGAGAAAGTGGTTGTATACAGCTGATAGTTTAGATATTTATGAAAAGGGTTTGATAAGATTCCAACAATAATAATAGATTCACATTGAATCCCACCAAACACAAACGTTTTTTATTTACATTGTTCAGGCTGTTATGCTCATCTTTATTAACATATTCACAATGTACATTATTCGGACTATTGTCCTCATCTTTGTCGCCATATTTATTACAACATTTTGGTGGTTGGAATGTCGAACTTAACCCTTCGCTCACTCATAGACTGTTCTAGTTCCACATATCATTGGATCTAACCAACGCCTTTATCCACTGTGCCATGTGTCCTTGAGGACATCTGGGTATGAATTTCTGGGTATTATAAACCTAATTTTTACCAGTGCTCATATTGCAATTTTTTGCTGTTATCATTGCATGTTTTTACCAGAGCTCATATTGCAACTTTTCTCTGGCACTCCTTATTACTGGTTCCCATATTGTATTCATTTCTATGCTTGGTTAGTTCAGGAGATTTTTATGACTTAGCATATGTGCTGCTTCCTTAAGTTTACGAATGTTCCTTGTCTATGATCTCAACCTGATCCCACAGAGGGCAGTGATCTCCCTTTTCTCTCCATATGTGGTCAGCCACGCCTGATTTTTCCACTTCCCCCTCATGTTACAGCTTTCTGGTGTTCTTAATGGGGTGGCCTGTCTCCCCTTTATATTCCTTTCCACAGCTGCACGGGATAGCGTACACACGGTCTTTAGTCATGTTCTCCTCTATAGGGGGTCTTACTTGGGAGTGATATCTGCGAAGTGTCGTCAAGCTCTTGAAGCTTGTCCTGATGTTATATGGACCGCACATTTTCTCTGATAACCCCTTCACATAAGGCTGGCAGACTATTTTCTGGGTGTTGTTGTCCTCCTCTTGTACCCACCTATCCCAGTTTTGGGGGGCTGCTGCCATGTACCCAGGGTAGTTGTTACATTATAGGGTACTACTTATACTGACATGGAGCAAAAGTCATAAGTGGCGATCCAGAGACATTAGATAAAGAACTAGCCTGAAATGTTGTAATAAATATGGTGACAAAGATGAGGACAATAGTCTGAATAATGTAAATAATACCTCATCTCAGAAATATAGATAGATATTCACAATCTTTCAGCCATTGTATGCTCCAGGCTTCTTCAGATGATATACACTGGAATTTTGGACCAAACCCTTTTTCATCCACTGGGTTAGATTGTTCTAGTTTCATGTGCCACACCTTTTCTGGATAAAATCAAGTCCCCAAGGACAAATGGCCCAGTGGATAAAAGTGTTGGTTGAAGTAATCCAGTGACTTGATGCAAAGAGTTGTGAGTTCAAAATCTGGCCACAGCAGAGGTGAACAAAAACTTGGAGTGTTGAGTTACTAAAGGAAAATAACTGAAACTGAGATATCCAGGAAAGGCATGGCACGTGGAACTAGAACAATGTACCTAAAGGGTTTGGTTTGAAATTCTAATGTATATCAACTGAAGAAGGCTGACATGTACAATGGCCAACACATTATGATTATGACAAAAATAAGGACAACAGTGTAAATAGTTGCAAAGTTTATTTTTCTGTTTAGGTTCAAATGTCGAACATTGTAATGGATTTCGCCACCATTTTCTTTATTTTAGATTCTTATAAGAAATTAAAATTTTTATTTTACTTTTTGTTCAAAATTGATTTTTTTTCCTCTTCATCAAGCAAGAAGAGAAAACCATGTCTTTAAATTTGAAGAAAGAAAGCCCAGCCATCATTTAAAGTCCATTTATCTAATTTCTTTTTATCTTTTTTTTTTCTTAAGCTTTTAAATAACTTCCTACAATTAACTGATTGCACATTTCTTTATTGGTTGTGCTAACTTCAATGACACTTTCAAGATTTCTCTAACATTGATACTGCCGGCAAATTTGACATCAGACTAATCTAGTCTTCTATTGAAGAATTGAGTAAATTTTGTAGATTTGAAAAACTGAAATTTTTTCCTCGTTTTGTCAGCCTGCTTGTTAGTTGAAAGCATGTAATTATTCAAAGAATTTCATTCAATATATAAAGTTCCCAACACCAGTCAGTTTCAATAAACCTACTTATTTAATGATATATAAATCTAAACACTCCCATTTCTTTTCTTTAGATATAGAATATATGAAGAAAAAAAATGCTTCAAATCACATTTCCCTTTCTATTTATTTTATTCATTCTTTCTTCTTGCTTTCACCACAGCTGTTACTTGGGAAGATCTTCATAATTAGTGATAAGCATCTTGAATGAACATTTTGACACTGATATTTCTTTCAAAACATTTTTTGTTTTCTTACTATACAAGGTCAATTGGTGAGTGCTATTAGTACTATGTAATCCAGTAGCACCTGATCAGTTATCGGTAACTCAACAGCTTCTCTCACGACAATGGTTACATACCAAAAGGATTAAAAACAAATCCCTCAAAAGGGGGATAAATCCCTTCATAATATCAACAACCTAGCACATGAATGAGAATATAGAAATACTTGGTTTTGTGTCTAGGTGTGTGGTAAACCCACAGTGGGGGGTGGGATTTGAACTCTTACTCTTTCTTTTAAGATCTCTAACTAGAAGGAAAACTGATGCAACACCTGCAGCTTGACAACATCCAATGACATTGACTGCTTCTTGTCTTTGAGTCCCCATGCTGTTCTTGTTCAGAGCGGGGGAATTGTCTCTCGGCAATGAATTTCTCCATTTTAAAAATTCATGAATGTCACAATTGAGTTTTTCAATGCCCAAAATCGACAATGAGGTGACAGCCATTACACACACACATTATATATATATATATATATATATATATATATATATATATATATATATAATGGACTCTCCGTCGGTTTTGGACGTATAAGGATCTGACAGCTTAGTTGATTCAGTTATGAAATTTTGTGCGATAATCT